AGTGAAGTCCGAGATAGTTTTTTGTACTTTTTTTATGAACACATTCTGGATATGCATAAGGAGATAAAATATCTTTAAATCCAAAGAATAGATATTTGTGTTTTCTGAAATAAATTTGTTGAAACCATAGAGAGAAATATTCACCCCTATTAGATTGGTAAACACATTGGGTGCACACTGAGCAATAAAGACAGATGTAAACTTTTATTTAGAGAGAATTCTCAATAATGACTATTAAACAGTCTTATGATTGTCACAATTAAGATTCTGATGCTGTTCTCATAAATAATGATTTTGTCTTTTTCTTAGTTATGAAAAATTCTAAATATTGGTAAACCTATAAATTGTTTTTGGCAATGGTACAAAAGCAGGAGTAAACTCATGAAATCATAAGAGCTTGGTTTGGGGTTTTTTTGTTGTTGTTTTTGAATAGAACAGCAATTTGGTTTTACTTTGCTTACATTATTTGCTTTATTGTTGAATGCTCAATGGTTGATTATAAGACTGACAAAATTTTTCTCATATTATACTATAACGAACATTAGATATGTATTGCATTTATATCATATTGTTTAAAAAGAACACAGAGGACATGTTGCAAATTCCTTCTGTTCAGTTACAATATACATTTATTTTTTAATTTTTTATTAATTCTTTGAGAATTTCATACAATTTATTTTAAGCATATCTCTCTTTCCCTGTCTTAAAAACCTGAAAGTTGTATAGAAGAGTGACAACATGGTAAATCTTACCTAAACAAGATTGGCCAGTCTTTGGATACTTTACTATAATCCCACAAAGTAACCTTTACCACAATTCCTCACTGCCTCTCTCTAAATTTACATGTTGATACAATGTACAAGTTGCATGATCTCTGTGAAAATGCTAATTATTTTGAACTAAAAACCCTCCCCAAGGCTCAAGGATCTTCATGGAAGAGGGGCTGGAAAGATTGCAAGACCCAGAGGTAGTGGAGAGCTACAAGGAAACAATGTAGCTACAGGGCAGGTGCATA